GCCTTTAAGCCATGCTAATTATTAAAATATTAAGCACTCTTTCCGCTGTTTCTATCACCATTTATTATGTAAAATGAAAAGAAATCGCACTGATTACAAGCAAATCACCCTCCTGATAATTTTTAGTGCTGACGTTTTATCCGGTTCACTGATCGTATTTTCTCAAACGACATGAAAGATGTGATAAACAACTCAATATTAAGAGCTCTCAATGTTACACCCTTTAGCCCCTACTTAAGAAGTGGAGTAAATTACTTCACCTTATTTGTGACGATTCACCACTTCGCTTTGCCCTGAGCTTACCCTCTTTCCATTAAAACATGTTTTTTCATATACAGATTGAAGTTGATTTTCGTAAATGATTAGATGAATGTATGAATGAGGGAACAAATGAATGAGTGGGCAAAACACAAAGATCTCAATCACACCCATTATTTTACAATGTGCATAATTTCAAGTTAGTCCACTGGCATCAGACTTTAAGTCAACAATTACCAGCTCTGAGTATGTCTCAGATGACTAGCACTAAGTCCGCCTTGAGGTTGACTACCTCCCAATTTCTTGCCAATGCCATTGCAAGGGCTTGAGATGACTGACCAACAGCGTCACTTCCTTTGACAACTTCAAATAATTCATTTTTACACCAGTGCCACTACCTCCAAGTCAGCCGATTCAACTCAGATAATAACCAGGACATCCGACACACGATCCTCTCGTCTCCCACTCGTTCACTTTCGAATGCGTGGAAGGGACAGAGGGAGGCGGAGAGTGATAATTACGCCTCATGGTAATTATCGCCAGGTATGCGAATGCGGCCGCTACGGTGCATCCATCGCCAGTTCAAATTACTTCCGTTCCCTCCCGCTTGACGCTGCCACTCGATGCTCCACGGGCCATGGTGACACCCCACTCCGGAAGTCGGTGTGCCAATTGCCCCTGTTGACGACGCTAATGATGGTGCGATGAGGTATAGCGTGAGTCTACGTGGCCATAAATTAAGCCATGAGGCCCAACTTGTATCATCCTTCCATTTTTTCACAAAAACCCATATAAATGTACTTGTATTCCAGTTGCTTGTTTGTGAAGTATTACTGCATCTTGAGTGTGCATTAAAGTACAAGCCCTTTATGCATGCATGAAATGCTACTCAGTCCGTATCTCATAACTTGCTTTGATCAGACAGATAATGTATTACAAAACCCTTCCAAAATGCATGCCAAAGTGAGCTGCCGTTTCAATCCACGCATGGCCACATGTAATGTTGCATTCCTTGAATTCCATCAATCTTACAGGCTTATACGTCGACGACAAGTGGTTATTGCATGAGAAGACTTATTTGCATTGTCATTTAAGCACTGCTGTTGTTTTGTGGACCTAATTTCCGCTCAGAAAGGGAGGATCAGTTGCAGTCAAACAAGTGGGACTGGCGCAGTAGATCCTACTGACTATTTGTAGTAGGGGCGCTAAAACATCCGCTTTGATGGCAGTTGTGTTACGTCGAATTTCCGCCACTCAAAACAGTTCATTGCAACGATACTGTAACCCAACCTAGAAACAGGGCGTATTTGTTTGCTGTAGAAGTGGCAGTCTGGTACAATTTGGTGGGGTCAGCTTTCTAGCATTATGCGAATGTGTGTGATTTATAGCTGGGGCCACTGAACCCACGGGATTGTACATCTTGATTAACTCATCAAACCTAGTAGATAATACTAGTCTAAAAATCCATCTATGCATCACAGTAGTTGGGAAAAAACGCGGATCTGGTAATAAATCCCCTGAGGCGAGTAATTCCAGTTTGGAGAAAATCCTCCATTCTGCATTACGTAGGATTGTGCGTTGTCGGTGTTTTTTTCCAGGCATAACTTGCAACAACGTTTAACGCGCAGATGCACCTGCATCAACTGGCGCAGTCGAGATAAGTGCTAATTTCTTTCAAGTCTGGCAGCTAGTCACCTTCTTTGTTTTTGTTGGATGCTTCGTCTGCTAAGCAGATGAAAATGCCATTACTTATTTTAGACGATTCAAGCACCACATCTCCTGCATTCCCAAGGCACGCACAACTTCCTCCCCAAGAAACTGCCCCTGCTGTGTGTCTTGTGCACTACAAATGAATTTGCCAATTGCAGATTTATTACTGAAAGCACATTAATTGCAGATGAGATCTTTTTAGTCGATAGGACTTAATTCTAATATGGGTTGGTGAATCTCCTTTGGAAACGGTCGCGAGCGGTCAATCAGGAGGATGGCAACACAACACAAATTCTTATGAGAGAAAGCCTATCCAGGAGAAGACTAGCACGTTAAGATAGTGGGCAGTGCTTTGTCTCCACTTTCCTGTATTCCTTCTGATGATGTTTCTTCAAGTGAACTGGTTGGGAAGCTCAGGAACCAGAAGTAAAGTTAAAAAAAATTTGTGGGTTAGTTGATCCACTGCCCTCCAGAAGTAAGAAGTCTTAAAATGTCAAATTGGTGACAAGCTTGGGCCACGTTTCAAAGAGACCACTGGCCTTAACATGGTTGTTTCAGCCAGTAAACAATTCGGAGACTTCCACGGATGCTTAATTTTATCGCAAACAAGTGCACAAAATGCAGCTGATTGTCTTGCGCATCTGTTGCTCCCAACGACTACCACGGTTGCGTGTGGCATTGCCTGCCTTCCAATGCCACTAGCCAATGAAGTGGGTTCGTGCCGTCTTTCCTTTGTGCTTGCAACACGTCGATGGAGCAAATACGCCTCCTCCAAGCACAAAACAGGCGAGTAGGGTAATCAACCGGTGCCGGAGGAATCGATGCAGGCGCTGTAAACAATACATTCGCGTGGTAAAAAAAGTGGGCCCTTCATCTCAAGGAACGTGTGACTTGCATGAACGACAGCCATTGCAGATAAGCCACTTAATCTAGGCGCAGAACGCTTCAGAATATGTTGCATGAGGGTTATCAACACGTTAAGAGGATTATGGCACTAGACAATGCAATCAACCCTAAAGAGACATTATTTACTGCTGAGGATGCTGTACATGCTACATCCTCGCCATGCCGAGCCTAAATACCCCAGTGAAACGCACAGACCCAGACGTCGTCATGGCGACAGAACAGTTGGCTTGTCGACAAATCAAACACACAATTTCCCATTGTCGACCACAGTTCCTCAAAACAGGCAATGAGCAGCTGGCCAAAAGTTTAGTTCAACCTCCGAACTTCCCCAACATTCGACCTTTTCTTGGTCAAATTTGACCTAGCAAAGAGGTGCAACGCCCGCGGAACCAAAACGGAGCACCCACGGTCTAACTACGGCATAGTATAACGCAGTATGATGGTAGACCACGATCCCGACTAGTGTGTTAATACAAGAGCACTGCTGAATCCAACTGGCTGCACCTCGTTGACCAAAATCTGAATGCAGAAGCCAAACACCCTGTTTGGGAGCATTTAAGACACACCGCTAGAATGTCCAAGACATCCACACCTTATCACACAGGAAAATCTCACAGCAAACCTGCAGGTAAATTGAGAGAACTTATGAATTAGTCAAACGGCAAAACAATTCCAGTAATGCACACTTGCAGGAGATTAGTCGACAGAGACAACAGTTTATTGAACTGACGTTTTACACTGAGTAAGGCGCCACGAGCCAGCACCACTTTTCAACTCAGTTGGTCTTCTGTTTACGAAGGTGTCTCTCGCGTGCGCTAAGCATTCGCTTGGCCATGTAAGAGGAGAGCTGACAAGAGGGAACCAGGCACAAAAATTGCCAGATGAGGGCATGAATAAAGTACCCACAACCAATAGTCTCAACGCCGATCATGGACAAAGCCGAGTTGGCGTAGGTTTCAGCCGAGGGAACCCAAATTGAGGTGCGTTTAATTCCCGACATCTTAGTGGAGACGAATGATGGAGCAAACATCTGCACACGGACACGAGTATCCCTCAGCTCAACTGCCAGAGCTTTGGTGAAGGAGCAAATATAAGCTTTGGTAGCCCCGTAGACAGTGAGGTAAGGGGTCGTTAGTAAACCAGATAAAGAGCCCATGTTGATTACGTAGCGGCGGACACCATGCACAGGCAAGGGGTCGCTGATCATTTTGGGGAGGATAAGGCGTGTGAGTTTTGTTAGTGTAGTGACGTTGATTGTGACAATGTCTTGACAGAATGAGGGAGTGAGAAATGGACTGCTGTGTAGGGCGTCTGGGTATACGTAAGACATACCAGCACTGTTGATAAGACAGGAAATTGACGAGAGTCCCTCGATTTCGGACTGCAACTGATCATACGAAAAGTTCTCCTGCAAAGTAATCCAAAATTGCCAAGAATGAAAAAAAAAGCAGTAGAGCAATAGCTCAGCACAATTGGGGATTTATTAACAAGACTCACCTTTGCAAAGTCAGCAACAAAAATCCTCGTTTTCACATTGTATTTCTTCTCTAACTCTGCCGCAACTGCCAATAATTTCGCCTCCGTGCGACTGATGAGGAAGATGTTCAATCCTTCTTTGGCCAACAGTTCAGCAAAAGCCTTCCCAATGCCATCAGTTGCCCCAGTGACAATGGCCCACTCGCCAGCTTTTTTCAGATCACCTCGTTTACACAAAAAGATACGGAACACGAAGTAAACCAGAACAGGCCATAGTAGGTATATGACAAGGAAAACGAATGCAGCAGCCAGGCAAGCGCAGAGCATCGCTAAGGCTAACTTCTGTAATGATATGGGGGTACGTAGACTAGTAATTGGTTCGTTTAATACAATGGCAATTATTCAAACAATTTCCCTTTTTACCTGAGCGTTTGCATATTAAATAAGTACTAATGGGAATTGTTTTGATAAAACACATTAGCTTATACCAAAACAAGCGTGGTTAGTTAAAGGTATGGGAACAGAACACAAACGCATAACGCCGGCTTTCCTGTGATTTCATTGGTTTGTAGTTAGTTTGCGATACAGACCTATTTGACTACTTGCCAGTAGCTTAGCCTCTAATAACTGCCATTTCTATTAGAATTAAGAATAGGTAAGTAATTTGATTTTTTTTTGATTCAATTGTTGCTTTTTTTATTTGCAATGCTCTTTTGTGTGTGTACGCTGGTGTTTGGCCGCTAAATTCCAAATCTGGTGTTTCTTGAGTGCCGTGGTTGTCTTGTCCATTTCGTCGACTAGTTTGCAACGAAATAGAAAGTCCTGGACTCCAAGTGACTTTGTAATTTGGGGAAATGCACTTCTGAGTTGGTAGGAACTGTCGTTTAAAGTAGAATTGCAGCATTTTGTGCTTGTCGAGTTGCTTCTCTGACGTGAAAATCATATGAAGCATCTGGGTTGGGTGCTTGCTATGTGTCTTAATCAGCGCCGTAATTTTAACTTCCCTCAGTTATTCTTTGAGCAGTTGACTCCCCTCGGTAAGCAATTGTTGATTCTTGGTTTAAGACAACGTATTGGTATGACAGTATCATCCATCTTGTAGCTTAAATGTTTATACGCGGCATCCTTCGCTTAGTGCCAAGTACGTCCAGCATTGACGCTAAAATCCATGTGTAGTGTCTAATGGTTTCCTAGGGCTGTTTATTGTTACTCAGAGTTTGACATTAAAATCCCACTAGTCCTGTTTCCCTCATTAGTAGATGTAATGTTCTTTGTGAAGCTCAGAGCTTGTTATTTCTTCCAAATCTTGCTTCACAGCATCTCTTCAGTTACTATTGCCAACTGGCGAGGTTTATTTTCTCCCCAGATGATGTTTTGTTTTAACAGTGGGTGAATTCGTTGCAAGTTCTTACAGATGCATCCACAATCTCCCTTTTTCCTGACAGTTTCGGAAATGTAGAGGGTGCCATTCTTGAGTCCAAAGAATGCACTGTATTTTGTTGAAGTTCGCTTAGGAGTAATAGCCGGACGTATAATAGTCGATACCATGTCTCGTCGATTGCTTCCTGATTTGTAGGTCCTGGGGATGCTGCTATTTCGCCCACTCCTCCCCCGCTTCGTTTGGATGACACAAACATCTCTGCTATCAGTCCTTCCTCGAGGCGGTGTCGCCTCTGTCCCTGATGACTTTGCAGATGTCACTGAGGTCAGTGAAATACGCTCTCCACCGCTTCCCAAGGCCCTTTCTACCTTGAAAATCAACGAAGGTGGCAACATTAACCGTGCTGACATTCTAGGAACAGTTACGGACCTGAAGGTGTGTCTTCAGTCTCCCGTGTATTGCGTGATTACTGTTGTCAAAATCATGGTAGATGGGAGCTGCTTTAGCTTTGCATACATACATTGGGCTAATGTCTTCTATCGTTCCCTATTTAAACGGCTTCTTCGGCTGTTAGCTGTCGTTAGGATGTGTCTCCATCTTGTAATTTTCCCAGTCGGCTATAGCCCGTCAAAGTTCAATAATACCACCACCGACGTTGTATTAATGCGGCGAATTTCCTTTTTAAATCGGTGATCATTGGTTGCATCATATCCTATCATAAGCGAACTATTTGACTTTAAACTGATGAAATATTTGTAGAATGTTACTAGTCTGGGGGTGCTCGTATTCTATTTGGTACTAAATCAGCAATAGCCTTAAGCCGAATTTATCATTTGTGGATTGTGGTGGTTGATTGTCTCATAAGACTGGTAACGGTCATGCTATCTTTTCCTGTTGTATTTTGTCAATCCTCGAGTTCTGAACCCACTGTTGGTATGAAGAACCGCTTTAAGTGTATGAAAATTGGTTTGTTTACTGGGATATGGGTCGGCGTTAGAAACAAGCCTCTTGTTTTTATGAGTGACACTGTTTCGTTAATTCACACTTCGCAGCAGTTGAAGTACCATTCCCTTTCAGTCCATTATGTTGGAAGTGTTTAATGTTGTCTCTCCATTCCACCCTACTATTCCTCCCATCTTGCCTCTTTTTGAGTTCGTTGATAAGTTACCCTTTAATTGAAATATGAATGTGCAAATCTTGTATTCGAGTTATTTTCATTCTTAAGTGGTCACATTTTTTTCATGTTTGGTAAAATTACCCGTTTTGCTGACTTCTATTAGCCATGTCCACTGCTTGATATTCTCTTTTCGAATTTTATGGTGCATGTCTAACTTTATCCCAAATGTTGAAGCAATATTCTCAGGTGTGTGGGAGCGCGATTCGTCAGGTCGACATGCAGGGTGATTTGCTTATACTTGATACCTGTTGTCAACGCAAAGCCTTGAATGCGGGTGGCTAAGTGGCATTTGAACTTTCGTATAGTTTATTCGATTTGATACAACATAATAGATTAACTTTGTTTGAGAATAACTTGAGTTGTCAACGTAGTCTTTATTGGAAGGTCTTCGCTCATTTAATGGGAATTTCTCCGGCCTCTTTAACCTGTCAAGCTATTTTATTCGATTCATTACTTGCTAAATAGTAACTACGGCAATACTTGCTATCACTCCTTCATGTGCAAGTAGTGTAAAGGTGATGATTTTCATTGTAACTGCACTTAATTCATTTGCGTCGACAACTGGTGATGGCTCGTGTTTCCTGTCTCTTACCGGAATCGGTATGAAAGCCAGCATTGAATAGACTGATTGGGTCTTTGTGTCGTATGAGTCCTTTGAATAGCGGTTGCTTTAAGGATAGTCGCGAATCGAACCAGGTATTTGGGGGCACTGACACAAGTTTGCGATGAGGAAGAGAGGATGACCAACGGTGGAATAGTTCCTCTCTCTCCGACTTGATTATTAAATTGCTTACTTTGCCTGCTTATTTGTGTAACCATTTCCTGCAGTGAGTCGGTGGATCTTCTGTGTTGATGCTTGTGGTAGGTGGTTCTTTGGCTTCGTCTTGATCGCCCTCTTGGCAGACTTTGCCTTCAACCAATTTTGCTGGTCAATATCCCATTCGAGTACTCCACAAAAATGGTGCCCCTTTATGGTTTATGGACAAGACTGGAAAGTCATAAACGCATTTCTCCTCTTCAAGCGTCTGCTCTGCTAATTTATTCAACCTCCTTGTACTGTTTAATCCTAACAGAGTAGTGTCAACCACAAACCGTATCACTACTGCTGTATGCGTGACTACTTCTTGCTAATGTTTAGTGCTGTTTGCACTACAAGACAGAATGTTGACAAAAATGGCAACTTGTACTTGATTTGATGCGACTCGCCCTAGGAGAGTCTGTTTGAAAAGTTATGATAGATAGAAATGGGTGTTTAAAGTGTTCCCTTCATCCGGGCCATGATTTATAACCAAATCAGGCATATTGGGCCTAGAGACTGCGTAATTCTTACGTGAAAGTGCTGGAATTTTTAAGTTGCCGTGTTGGAATGGTCTCTCACCTTCTTGGGTGGATTTCGGTTAGTTGTTTTACGCACTTTTTATGCAATAGACTACTGCTTTCAGTGTGTTATCGTAGCTTGGGATCTAGGTAGGGGTAATTCCTCGTATTGTGCCCGCGAAAGTTTAGAGACTTCTGTTTTGTTTTGTTTGTTTTTTACTGTACCCACCTGCACCTTCCTTCGCTGACGTTTTGTGTGTGACTGCTGCAGATGTTGGACCGACTGTCGCAGCCAGAGAAGCAGTGGGCCACCCTATTCATCCGCACTTGCACTCCGGTGCTGTCAACACCTCTAGAAGATGCTGAATGTGGAGAGTTCGAAGTAGACGAAACCGACAAGGATGACAGTCGAGTTACGTACCACCTACGCACCTACCACAATCGGGTGCATGTGTTCCATCTGCGGCTGCTGCCGCTGGTGAAGCGTCTGCGGCCCGGGGATCGTGTCTTTGTGACCGGATTTCTCTCCTATTATAAACCCAGTTTTACTTCCAGCCCCACGGATGTTGCAGAAGTGAGGAAAATTGGCGTGGTTGTCGCTGAGCGACTGATTCTACTGGGTTCCTCTGAGGAGACGATGAACTCGGAGACGGAGTAGATGCTAACAGGGATTGTGCATTTGCCACTTTATGCATTTGTATTCATGTAAGCCAGATGCTCTATAAATCACCTTTTGTTTATATTCCTGTACTATCTTTAAGTTAATTGAAATAGGAGGATGGTAGTTTGTTGGAACATGACCACTTGGTAATTCCACTGGTAGTGCGGTGGATTATTCACTTGCATTAACATCACATGCTAGATGGCAAACGAAATGCGACTTTCATGGTTTTGTCACGTAGATGGGTCGATTTAGCTAAAGTTTCTCTGTTATGGTTGAATAAGGCATGGTTTGTTGCAAAGTTTGAATTCTCCTTTGTCTGGGAGGTGTTGGGCTCTCCGACAGGACAGACGTTGACTTGGCGGGCGCGCCATGCGCTACTTCCTAGTGCGTATGTGGATAAGCCAGGGAACGAATAACCGACTTCAGGTTGCCATTACCTAGTGTGACTGAATCAAATTAGGAGCAGTGATTGGCGAGAACGTAACCAGTGGAAGACGTGTTTGTCGTGTGACAGACACATGTAGCTGTCGGTCCGCCATATTCTTTAGACTATTTCATCACGCGAGATTTTGTAAGTGTTCGTCATTGCTGTGAAAAAGTGGGATTTGGGTAGTTGTATTGCTCTAGTTGTGTCACTGCTGCACTTTGTAGAGCTGTATAAAGTGTTGGTTAAGTTTCGTGTCTCCTTCCAACAAATTACTCCGACTGAAGCTGATGTGTTTGATTTTGAAAAGCTGCAGGGCCGCATTTTCATTTGGCATGATACCAAGTTGAGAAATGCGCCTATTTAGTGGTTCACTGGATAGGAACGGTTGTCAAATCAGTGCTTCTTTTACAAAAACGGTTTAGCAGCAACATCTTTTATTTAGTTCATCTACCTGTGAAAATTCCTCTGCAATTTGGATACCAAGCCGCACCCATTTGCGTGTTTTGAGCAGTCAGGCGCGTGTCAATTCCAGTCGCGTCTCGAAGCCTGTCTTGACGGAGTTTTTCTGGAACTTGAAGTAGGGATTGGTTTGAATGCAACCAATAGGCAATCGGCTACGTTTCTCATGGTAATTATCCGCAGAAGGGACAATTCAAGCTTGTTTATGCCTGGCAGTGCTTATTCGTTAACGAGAATTTGTAGGCGGAGTTTTTGCTTGAATCAATTTACAGTTAGGTCCATGATTTTGTAAAAAGTGAGATGCTCAAATATGCATTGCACTAGAAATAAAATTAACAAATGGCGACCCCCTCAACAGGTTCAATGCTTGCTTACTTCATCCCAGCGAATTACTGTTTGTTTGGAGGTAAACTATGTGGCCGTGTCAGCCTGCGCAATTGTCACTTCGGTCTGCCGTCACGGCCCACCGATCAGGTGTTAGCTTCCAAGCCCTGTTGTGCTATCACCACATTTTATCGATACTGTGTGGCTTATTTCAATGTCAAATAGAGCCTACGACGGCACATCGGTGGCAGTAGCGAGTGAACTCAATGCGAAGGTCGAACACTCCTGACGTCTTCGACTGCTTATCCTACCTGTATGCAGAGGGAAACTGTCTACTGTGAACAAGTGAATCTGCAGAAGCTCACTACAAGACTAAAACGATGTCTGCCTTGACACAATAAGCGCTGACCGATCAAGATCGGATTGTAAGGCTTACTAAATTTTGGCAAACAAAACCACCCGTTTGAATCATTAAAACTTGCAAGAGTGATTTTTACAAAGAAAACGCTCACAGCAAAACAATGTCCAGTCTTTGCCTTCACTTCCTCCATAGATTCGCCCCTTGTTGTAACTGCATCACCTTTTTCAATTGCCAGGAATAATTGCGATTCACACAGTGAGTTGTTACGGTCCATGCAGAAGAATAGCTTGGAGAGCACCGACGCTGACGCTCAGAAATGAGGAGCCATTGCGCAGTTTTATATCCGAATCAATGTACATTTGGAAAGTCGGACTCTTCACTCTTAGGCCGTACTTTTGTCTTGTAAAATGGCACCCAGGCCATGCCTACGGCTTCTTTACGTTGAAAATAAGTCATTCTTCTGTTCTGGCATGACTTACTAGAGTTATGGGGTCAGTAAACTGCCTCAGGACGCGATTTTGCAAGAAACCAAAGGTAAACTAATGACAAAAGCTAGACTTACGCTATGACCTGAGGCTTCAACTGTCTTTCGCACATAAACTATTAATTCTTATTGATACACTCCTAGAATGAAATGAGCTCCCTTGCAATATTTGGCCTCAAAAAATACGTCTATCAAACCACGAAAAAGTCCTTGGAAAGCTTATTTTCAGTACCATGAGAGGTAGCGAATGTTGGGTACGCTAATTAACGCCCCAAGGTGGCGCAAAATTCGAGTTTATGGGGGCCAGCAGTAGGTGTCGTCTAATGCAAATTCTTGAAGCTAACGCCAGTTTGAGCGAATGTTTTGAAGGCACGTGATTCGTCATTGTTATTCAAACAGCTTCCGCCCGGTGCATCAACCTTCTGCGACACAGTAGCAGCAGCAGCCAATGGCGTCACGGCGCTGAAGGTCGTTCCATTTAAGTGGCCATCAGCATCACTACGCGGCCGAAAGCACCTGCTTAGCCTGAGTCCCAGTGGTATGGGAACACAAGGTGCCGCCATCTGAGTGTCTTTATGGAAGGTAATATAGTGAATCACCAACTAGGAGTTAAGAAGTGAAAAAGGTAACTTATGAAGGATCCGGGTAAATTGTTCTCCCTTGATTTTGAAATTGGCGGTTATTTAAGGAAGCTTGCCTTCTATCTCCGAACACTGTGATCACAAATGAACGAAGTCATGTGGTTTCGCTTACATGAAAATGAAATACATTTTGAAGGATACAGGCGAGGCCTTAAAGTACTTTAACCATGCTGACTACATTGCGCAGAATCATACTAGGCGCAGGTGAGGAAGCAGACCCTTTCCATGGGAACCAACTGGAAGGTCTGAATTTAACCGAATTCGGAGCAAATCCAAATCGAATTATGAATTAGTATTGAAACCGGACCAGATTGTACCGAAGACGTTCTTTGCAAACTGTCAGCAATCCATCAGATTGACAAATATCACCATGAATCGTTACCCACCATAGAAGGTAGAAGAATTCTTGTGAGGCATGCGGCTACGCATGTCCAGGAACGACATCTCAAAATCATAAAATCATGTATTTCGAATGGTGACTCAAATAAAACTTATGCAGACTTAGCGTTGGTCCTAGAAAAATCGTTTTAGTTTACCACGTCATGCTGACTTCTAATTCGCATGTCTACTGCGGCTAAAGTGAAACCATTGATGACGGTAACATAACTTGGCCGGAGCAGCATACCCCTACGCGCCTGACACCGACAGTAAATGTCAAATGTCTGCTACTGCGATACAGTGACTTGGTTCATTAAGTGATTTAAAAGCTGAGATCGCAAAACAATCAGGAAGGCAGCAACTTGCAGAAAAATGGATTGATGCCAATATCGGGTCTTGAGTGCGAAATCCATTCAGTTTTAGGACAAACCGAACGGGAAAAAATGGGAAGGCAGGAAAAGGTGATACCTCAACGCCGGGACAGTTGATCATTTCTGCAAATGGCAAAACGACTGAGTTCACACAGAAAATGGTAACAATAGGCAGAGTTGTGGCTTAATTAGTGAAGGTAATAATACACAAGAGGGGGGGAGAGAGGAAAGGAGCGGGGAGATGGCTCGGCGGGTATGAGGGAAAGGTGGGGTACTAGCACCTAGGCATGCATCACAGGAAGCTCCAGTGCGCTTATGGGCATTCTGAAGAACATGAAGCTGCGAATGGCACACACCAGCACAACAAGGTAGAGCACTGTTGATAAAGAAGAAAGTATCAAATAATAAATCACAAATAAGTAAGACTGTAAATAAACAGATAGTGTTTGACCGCTGAGAAGATTTCCATCAAATAGTGGGAAAAAAATAGTAAGGTTCAAGTTTTATGAAAAATTAGTTTAAGGTACGTCAACCTACAGCTGTTAAGACTAAATCAAAATTACTACACTTTATAACAGTTAATACTGCCGCACTACGCCAACTTGATACTAAACATAATGGGTTCCTGAGTAGGTCTAGATGAAAAGAGAGGTCATAAATCAAATAACATCTGTAGGCACCGTTCGTATACCTTTTCATCCTTCAAGTAAATATGTAAACAAACCTTTTTGATGAAACGTTTTTTAGTAAAGGATCAAAGTCGCCACCCAGCACATATTGTACCTGATGTAAATACGCTGAAAATATTTGGAAGTGGTCAAGTCAGTAACTAGAACGTATTTCACAAATGATCCGAACATTTCGAGAAGGCCTTCAAACAGTCGATGGATGTTGTATAAACAAAACCGCACACAATGTAAGCCAATTGGTATTTATAAAAGTGAATCGAATAACGTTGGTTAGGATAACTGACGAATAACTGAGTTAGAACAGATTAATTGGAAAGTTAGACAAAGAAGTTGAGGTCTTCGGGAAATGCAGAACAGGGTAACTGGAAAAATAGACAGTGATATGCTTGTGCAGGAACTCACAACCCAACTAGTCGGGAAACCAACAGTTATGACCCTAACCGGCGCTGTGCGATCAGCAAAGCTCTTGCCAATTTCTACTGTGCAACTCACGGTTAATCGGATACAACGCAGGTAAGTAACTGCAGCATCAATAGAATGAGCACTCAAAGGTTCGCATAGTTTGCGAATAGATAGACACCCATGGTCGAGAGACAACAAAACCTAAACATATGGTGGGTTAATTCAAATTTCCAGTTTGAATCAGCACACCCTACTTGACTTTTTCAGATATATTCCAACAAGGTAGATTAAATTATTGTAGTTTCTGCAATGGATCAGTAACAGCAAACGGTATTCATTAGAGATTTTGCGTAGCAGAATAAAATGGACAATTGTATCTACAGCAGCCGAATTCAACTTTCGTTGCAATCATGAAGTATGGATCTTAAATAAGTAATTTACCAGCGAAAACAAGGAGGAATGACGAAGGCAATTACAATGGATGAATGATTTCGCTTCTCGAGACTGCCATCGCTTAACACTAATATAAATATGAAAAGACGAAAAAGGCGAGAGAGTGACAACTAACCTGACCAAAGAAAGTATAATCCATGGTACGATTTTGCAGCATCCGTAGTGCCAAAGGTCACACCGATAGCAATGACGAGGAAGATTAAAGTGAGAATTAAGTAGCCGACCCAGCGAGTGCGAGCGTAGGCCTGTCCGATGGAGGTGACTTTGCGACATTGCGGACACCGAGCAGCGATGAGACCGCTAACGTTAGATGCCGCACCACCAGAGAGGCAGTTGACCAAGCGGTTGACGAAGGCAGCCCCGAAAGCATTAGGTCGATAGGACTGGGGTGTAGGGATGGAGAAGGGACGATGACAGTTGCCACAGGTAACACGTAAGCCACCGCGATTAGGAAATGTGCCTGCCCCGACACCGCCACCACTACCCCCACTCCCGCCAATACCTTCTCGACCTACGTCGCCCGCCTGATAACCCGATGCATTCGGCTGGAATAGGGGAAAATGACTTTCTTAGTAGTCAAATAACCAGGAAAGGCTTGTAGGAATATCATAAATAAAGCTTACACCGTTAAGGTTTATAACTCTAAGGCAGTCTTCCCTTGGGCAGCCCACTCGGGTAGCAGTTGATTTACATATTAATAGGCAATTACACTGGCAACGGACGTATTGTTTGCCCGTTGGTGGACCTTTAATAGGCTATGAAGAAAGTAAAAAAGCAGTGATGGTTGTCTACCGTTGCTTCACCACATGATGGGCATTTAACAACGAGTTGCTTTTCCTTGTTAACGATGGGAATGATGGTATTACAGACTTGGCACTTTGTCGTTGGTTCACAATCTGAACTTCGAGTTTCAGCATGATCAGTAGAAGGCCTACTATGGCTTGCTGGAAAATATAAAGAAATAAAAGCCAAGGATACCGCTAGATTCCTGTAAAAGAGCAGTCCTCTCATCCATTAGCAAATGTAGCAACTACGAAGTTGGCGCTCCACACAGGCACCAACTCTAAGCAGCGTACTGGCATATAGATTTCACCTCAGCTGTTCCATTATACCACTACTTTATCAAGTAAACTAGCCAGACACCATCATTTGGCAATAATTTTAACCAGTTTTTTGCAAAATATATATTTAGTGCCTATCAAAAAAGGATATTATTGGAAACTTTTTCTGATTTAACCGATAAACTACCAAAAAATAGTACCTGCCAAAGTTTTAGTGATTGGCAGATATTTGTTAAAAGTGTTTAGCTGGCTCAGAAAAATCAATTTAAATAATTTAATTATGTACAGCGCATTGGATTTTTAACCCACTTCGGGTCATCTCAAATGTGCTTTTGCCGAGTAGGCTGGTCTTCGAACAATACTGGCATCCTTAATATCTTCCGTAGATCGGCAGTACACACCCTACAAGAGTATTATGTTTCCTTTCGTCTTTAGGGGAGCCTCTGTGCACTACATTGGTGGCAGCACAAATCGAACCCTACCTTAGGGGACAACTACCCATTTTTCTACTGCTTTGATAAAGCTAAGTGTGTCGGGCGAAGTGCAGATTACTAAGAGTAGGAGTCTCTGTGCCGACCTCTAACAAACGAGCTAATACTGACGTCCAGTGTTTTGCAGAAAAGCCACTTACAGCGGAAGCAGCCCTAGCCATTCCCGACTTCCAAAGTTTTGTTACAGAACTGCTTACCGCACTTGCATGTTAATATCAAATACGTGAAAGCGCAATGCTTCCTCCACTTCTCTGCTAGCTAGGTGGAAATGAGTTAGATATATCTGGGTAGCTCTGGAGTGGGAAAAGCATGGCAAGGTAGAATGTAATTGAGACCCCCTCCCTACGAAACCATTTTTAGTCCGGTTATTTTAAATGGCTCTCTATTTAGTTAAGTATTTTTAAGACTAGAGATGGACACGCGTGTTGACCAGCACATTTTCTTTCCCTGAATTTACCTCTCATCTAGGTCGAAACCCTAGATCCATTAGAATTTCCAAGGTGGATCGGAGGCTTCGCGGTTAAGGATTTCTACAGTTGTATGAAAAAATTGACGACTGGTATGGTTGACTTATGGGTGTTCCCGTACAACACCGATTACGTTATAATAGCTGAAGCGGAAGTTTAATCAAGGCGAGCCATGGGAGAGGGCTAAATGAGGAAGAGGGGCTGTGTAATGCAATGGTTATTTAACTCTCAGCCCTGATGAAAGGACTACTTTTGGTCTCCATCTTTACACTCTCGCCGAGTGTGCTGACCTCCGGGCCATGTCAGTGGTTGCTATCCCTTCTGCTGGTGGAGAATGCCCATTCTATAAAAGTATTGCCTTCTTTTGTCTTCAGAGAAGTCTAGGGGCACTATATTTGCTTCTATAAGAAAGTTTTTGTGTTCATACTCAGGTATGATTGAATGAAAATACATCAACTGCACTATTGATTGACAAGTCGGAATTACAAAAATCAAACTGCATATATATTCCCAAGTCCTAATTTTTACTTTACTTTACTTTTACTTTTTACTTTAATGAGTAACTTTTCCTTATTTTTCCATTTTTCTAAACGCAAATAGTGGTATATTTTTTTAAGTCCCTGTATGACAGATTGAGAATGAGTCGGAGTGATGTAATGATATGGAATGACTTATTCTCCTAATGATAAGAAAGACGCAGCTGAGTTTTTCCCAAAGTCATAAGTAATCGCAATAGCTTGACAGAAAACATGTTACTGGCGCACAGAAGAGCTCAGGCTATTGACTTGCCCTGAAAGCCATCCCACCGAGTGGACACACAATTGTGGCGTCTCGAGACTTACCTGGGCACAATATATATATTCGACATAGAGAAGATATTTGGGCTACTGACGTGGCCCGTAGGCCATTCCACCAGGTGTGGTACAATGGTTAAATCAAAAGTAGATCCTCACTTAAACAGAGAGGTAACCAACCAACGTATTACACAGCCTTCGGAGACTTAAATCCCCATAATCTGCCAAAGAAATCAATAAACTATCAAGGCATTACGTGGTTCTCTCTTCTTTTGATCACCGACCTCAAGTCTTCTTTTGGTCCACCTATGGCGTCGGCCTTTACACCCACGAAATAACCGCCACGGTTATTGAATTGACGTGCAAATGAGAAGATATTTGAAGCATCCTAGGAACCTCACTGGATTAGGAGTTTCGTCATGTTTAGAAGCGGTATTGAAGAAGGGCAAAATGTGCAGTCCTCATATTGCTAAAGGAGAGATTATGCTCCACAACTTAATCATTTCGTGTTTTCATCATTAGTTGCAGGAAAGCTGGCCTAAGTGAAATGTCATTTAATAAAATGCAGGTGATAATACAGCATTATGTAGACGATATTTTCTATCTATTATTCCTTTTCACTTTGTCTCCACTTCGTTACTTTCTAGCCGTATATCTGTTAAGGCCCAATCCAGCTGGTAGAGGTGGAAGATATGTCTAGTGTTTACCTCAGTGACATCTTTATACAGGCAACTTAGGCAGCTTCGTAAGGTAATTTGTTAATAGCCCTTTTTGTGTGGTAAGAGAGTGAGGTATTCATCGCGTTTTAACGTCATTCTCAATGCTCCAGGATCTCTAATCCGCGGCTAATGCCATTTTTACTCCGCGCCAAGGTTTAACATGCAGCAGTAGGAATTAGGGTATTGTCCTTTATGATAAGTTTCATATTCTGCTGAAATCACCCAAAATTTTTCCTAAAGCCGTAGAACATCAGTCAAGTAGACCCTAAATCATTATTGATGTACAGAAGGGGCGGTGGGCTAATGGCCTGACCTAGGGAGCGCGCAGCTGAGCAAAAGTGCAATCTGTGGCTACTCAAGTGATTGAACGCAGGGATGGGCAAACTGCTGAAGCATTACGCTAGCCAGATTGTTGTAGCCAACATCTTATTGTACTTATTTAATTTTTTTATTTGCACAGTGTTACATTTCGTAAAAAGTAAAAGAAATTAGAGCATTCAATTTAGGCTAAAATTCCTATCTTGTTTCACATCTACTCAAATGTAGTATATTTGCCATCTCTAAGCTCTTGACATATTGTTGTTGTATACTATATAGTTTGGCGATATTTTTAACAAAATTTTGTTCAGGGTCATTGATAATTGATTGGCCTATGCCTGGGGGAGGTGTGCGTGACACATGCTATGAATTGAGTGCTAGTGTGCAAAGCTTGGTTTTTTTTTCCAATCAGTGAATTCCCACAAAAATGTTGTTCCGAATCATTACTTACAGAAAGTCCTGTTGTGCTCTTGCCTCACTAGCCTCGGTGTCACTAGCTTCCTCCTCTGTAATTCGCCAAGAAAGTTTATCAGAGGAATTCACTCGGAAATTATCTAACTCCTTTGTGCGATTCATAAGGTATAGAACGGGGCTTGAAGCAACATGTAAGGTCTTTTTCTATAGGTTTACGTGTATCTTTACTGTACAAATGGAAGCTGTTAATGTTGCAGGAAGTAATGTTTGAGTTTCTATTTCGTTAAAAATAGCTGCTTTAAGGATTCTAAAAAGTACACCACCGTTCTTAATGAGTGCCATCAAAGAGCGGCCGATTTGATCCTTGAGGGATGCCTTTTGAATGGTGGTATATATATCAAATTGGGTCAGGGTTTATCAGCCATGAACCACATTCTTCCATCACAAATCACATCGACTCTTGAAATGCTCCACGACAAGGCTCTTTCTCGATCTCCAGATGAAGTAACCTGGCATTTTTATCTTTTTGTTGTAAGATTAAACGCATTTTCCAAAAGGACTTTGGTGTCCCTCCTGAGGAACTATTCCACAACTTTGAAATTCAACCCTTCGCCGCTGCAAGCCTCGCTCAAGTTCACCGAGCTGTCACGAAAGACGGAAAGAAGGTGGCTGTGAAGGTTCAGTACGAGGATCTCCGCGAACGCTTCAATGGTGACATCTCAACTTTAGAGTTACTGCTCCATTTTGTGAAGTTTATCCACCCTAAATTTGATTTGGCCTGGATCCTGAAAGACTTGAAGGAAACTTTGGCACAGGAGTTAGACTTTCAGCTTGAAGCGGCAAACGGCGAACGCTGTCGGAATGATCTGGCAGTTATGGGTAGTCTTCAACCTGGGGGTTTAGTCCACATTCCTATCGTAGAATACAATCTGTCGAGTAAACGTGTTCTTACTACCGAATTCATTGACGGGATTAAGATAAGTGATGTAAGTCGACGCAGTTAGGTGAACTCTCCTTGCTCTACTAGATTCCTCATTTGCAAAAAGCAGGCTTCTCTCTCGCCTCCATTGACAAAATTATGGTGGCTGCTTTCGGTCGTCAAATCTTCTGCACCGGCTTTGTGCATGCTGACCCACATCCAGGAAACCTTCTCGTTCGAGAGCGTCGCAGCTCGAAAACTTCTCTCTTTCATCGTATTTTTCATTTCCTTTTTAAGTGTTTCTTCGAAACTCCTGCTCAGCTAGTGATAATCGACCATGGCCTCTACCAAAGTATTTCTGACAATGAACGACTGATACTGTGCGAACTGTACAAGGCCATCTTGAACAATGACGAACGAAGTATGAGGGAAAGTGCCAGGCGTCTCAAAGTCACCGGTAAGTCGGCATTAGCATTTAATGATTATTTTAACGAAACTTACTGTAAACAAAAAGACCTTGCTCTATTAAAACCAGCGCCTCTCAACTTTTGAAACAGCCCGAATGATCAACAACTACTATCGAATGGGATGCAAATGTCTATCATGCAGTTTTACCACACTTGTCTCGATACTTTTGTACCAAATTTGCATTCTTTGGTTTAATCACGATTTATATTGTATTCAAAGTTTTTTTTTCGGGCTTTATAACTGGCCCATTTCTTCGCTACTTTTTGGTGCATGAATAGGTGTGGCTTGCTAATTACTCTAGTTTCTTTTAACAATAGTCAACTGCTTGGTTTTTTAAGAATTCCACCCAACTAATTCTAAGTAGGATGCTAAACCATATCCGCATTGCCGCCAGACTACACAACCTTCGGAGAGATAATAATCCAACGACCCTGGCGTCGCATTGGACGTGCATTGTCTAGCAGGTTAACGGAGGCAGATAAGGCATACATTAGGGAGCAGGCCGAGCTATACTTCGATCGCATCCTTGCTGTCCTCCAGGAAATGCCCCGACCTCTTCTCCTTTTTATTCGGTGAGTCTTTGCGTCATTTCCAGTCGCTTCTTGATTAACACACCTCCATGTTTAGTTGTCAATTTGGGCATGCTGAAATCACGGCAGTTGTTTTTCCCGATGTGATTACGAGTATTCACTACCAGTTCAACGAAATTGGTAAAGTATGAAGTGGCAGCTCCGAACGGTCAGGTTCTCAGGGTTTTTTCCTGACAAAGACCTCTCCATAATTCGGTTTTATAGCAACTGAAATCAAATGATGCGCATGTTGAAGGGTACCATGGAGACTTTCGTCCAGAATCTAATTAGGAGAGCGGGCTGTTTCTACGCCCATAGTCTCGGAAGTGTTAGTAAGGTATTCTCAGGCCTCGTTGGGTGAGTAAATTAATCAGATGAGCAGTTTTAAACCATCTGCTCCTGATAAGTGGCAGTGATACCAATCATTATTCACGGATAGGTTTGTCAGTTGATGTGCTAGATCAGAGTTTGCCGCGGCGCCTTCTCCTACAAGCGGGTTTAGATGTCCTTTTCGAACAAACGGTACAATGCAATATCTTCATTCTTACAGAACGCGCTTGAAGTTCTGTAAATAATCTGACGCACTTTTTCTCCATCCGTTATCAAGTCATCAATCATCGAGTCCAGGGCGAAGGTGACCTTTGAGTTGAAACAAAACCAGTCAAATTTTAGGAACTTTAAGATAAAAATTGGTTGGAGAAATATTTCACATTTTACTTTCACTCTATAATCATAGGTGATCTTGGTCATGTTAAGAGACGCACCGAGGTACACGCAATAGAAGTGGTCACAAGTCCTCCGGGTATGGCGTTTGCCACTGGCTATGGAGGTGCTGATGTAGTATTCTTCTGCTTATCAAAAATTTCCTCTAGACCTAAATAAGGGCTTTGTCCTACTGGAAGTGATCAGCACGGAGGCGCAGTCTGCGCTCCTTCCCGAAAAATCACCACCTCTTCTTTTCCTTCAAATTCACGCATCCAATTTGGAAGATTAGCCTAAAACATGATATACTAACATTTTACGAAACAACAGAGAACCTGTTCCAAAACTAGTGACGATTCATTCCAACTTATTCCAAATATTTTCGATTTTAAGCTCAAAAGAACCAGATTTAATGGAAGTGCAAGCTATTCAGTGATGTGCGGTACCCCATTTTACGCACATTCTGGCTATTATTGGCATCTTGAAGTGAGCGTAGATGCCATCGGTTATCCTAAAAATTTGTGATATTCGACGAAACTTTTTCCTCTCATTAGAGACAAATCGGTTGTATTTTGGATCCTTTGCATGATGTATTGCAAATCTCAGAGATATGACCTTAAGGTGTTGGATCAGTGTTTATTTTGGGTACTAATCAGTTCTTCTTCATTTTTTTTATCGAAAGCAATTTGAACATGGTGAGATCTATCTGCCGCAGTCATGGAGATCGTATTAATCGGCACGAGTACCTCATCTACATGGCTCTTCTCGGCAGTCAAGCATCGTATACCTGCTGTATTAACCCGGCTTGGTTTCGTTGGCAAGGGTACATCCTCATGATCAGGTAATCCAGTGTATGATAGAGATGAGGCTTTCTCCCACTTTAGACTTGGATGTACTACTTTGTCCTCCTCTTTTTGAAGGTGGGAGGAATTGAGGAACTGGGTATGCCTTCTTACGTTGCGTCTTCTCACCTTCCTTGGATTGACGCCGGATTTCAATGAGATTCAATCGGTGGCCATTCAAACGGCATCTCAAAAGCAGATGCAATATCTGGAATCAGGAAGTACCTAGTTCCGTGTGCCTTAGGGAGGCCTTGCACCCTACAGTTTAGGTATTCCTCCCTCACTACCTCTGATAAATTAGATTTAAAACATGCACCTCCTGGCCTGAGAACTTGCAAGTATTTCAGCATGTCTTTTATAGGAAAATGGAAGACCAAAGTTGCGTTTATCCAAGCACTGCAAAAGACATCCATTAAAATTAGCCGTCAATGTATTAACTTACTTTACTCGTACCGTGTGGATTAGCTGTCAGAGATGATCCCGAAAAACCGCGATTTGGGAACCCTTTGTATTATCTGATGGTTTTGGGGTGAATGGTAATAGGTTGATTTTTTAGCTTCCACGGGAATGGGGGGAAGTTGTGAACAGTGGTGATTTCGTTTTATTTCGGCATCTTACCCTGCCACATTTATGTGCTCATAATGACGATTAATAATATCGAAAAAGCTTCAACGTGAAAACATGTGTGTTTGTACGGCTGAGCTCTACTGTGATACCCTGCTTTGACCGCACGCTTCCGTTTCTTTGAAGTTCGCTTCAGCAGAATGATGTACCTTCGACCACGCTATTTGACCTGGTATTTTGATCATATCCATAACCTCCTTCCCATTTCCCTGTACGTGTATACTGAACCTTCTTCCATGCTGACACTCCTTACTACGACTCCAA